AACGCAACCGAAATGAACCGAAATTACGGTAAAACGAGTTTGTATTTCATGAAAACTATTCAGTAAACGAATGTAAACTTATTTACACTTTAATCCTGACTATAAGTCTATATAAACTATACGATCACATCCTGTCGCCGACTCCTTGAACTTCTAGCCTCGACTGGAGGGGCGCTGACGGGAGGCGGAGGGGTCACCTCATCGGCCACTTCGATCACCGATTCTTCGGAGTCACAGTTCACTGAGAGGTAAGTCGGAGCCATCATAGGAGTGATGTCCACTTCGACGAGTCGAACATTAGGCGCACTCATACTCACGGTGTCAATGATCAGGAGAGGGCTGTTCGCATCGACCGTCTCATTAGCTGCCGATTCAGTGTTTGTTTGGTTTGTTTGTTCAGTCGAAGCGCTCGTTTGTGGATACGATCGGCGCCGACGTCTGTTTCTATGTCTGGTGTGAGCCCTATCAGCAAAAAGTAATGGCGTTCTCTCGTTGGCGCCGGTATTGTGCGCTTCCGACTCGGACTCAGTGTCGCTGATATCACTCATTCCCGGGAGAACTACTTTCCCCTTACATACGGGACAAACGCGACGATTCTTTGTGAGCCAGGGGTCGATGCACTTGACGTGATAGGCTGTCCAACAGAACAAATGCATGGAATGAACACAAGTGACACATAACTACAGCAAGTGATGGACACATACCGTGACCACACGGAAGAATACGGAGTTTCTCGTTGTCGACGTACTCCTCCAGACATATGGCACACGTGTCGTACTGATCGCCTACCGTACAGAAGTGATTATCGTATGCGCTATAACTTAGAATAATTAAATAAACTCTTTGAATACCTTTCTTATATTTTTGGATCGGAATCTGTTTGAGATGTCGCGATGAGAGGCGATGTCTCAGTCGTCTCTTTCTATCGCGAATACACTTCACGATCTGAAAGATCTAATAATACGGTTATTATTACAACAAATGGTTTCACAAGAATTCACTTCAGTTTACCATAAATGAAATCATCAGAAGAAGACAGACAGCGATTACGATAGCGAATGGCAACAGATATGCGTTCAAATTGAAGGGCAGATCCGGTAATATCATTAAAGTAAAGCCTTTATTCCATAGATATTCCCTCTTCAGAGCCCATCCGTCCTCAAAGGATATGAGAAGCGCTGGAATTGTGACTCCATTTTCTGTCATTATTACAAATCACATACAATTGGTATTACTGTTTATGTCTCGTATTATTGATTGCTCTCATAAAAAAGACTCATTTGTTTCGTACAACAGTTGTATTCATACAATAATAGACACAATTAACACATCATAAAGAAGTCAATTATTACCAGTTTGTGGCGAATGGACCAAAGAATACTTCTTAACAGTCATCACATCTATATTATAGATGATAATGGCATCGAATCCAGCCTTCATAGCATT